ATTACGGCTTTTAAACAATAGGACAGAAAGATTAGTGTAACAAACTGCGCGTCGTACTGTGTCCCACCTGCTCAGAAATAATAGATTCGCAACCGGTTTCTCAGCTGATTGCGGAGGATCACATTAAGCGAATAATTTACCTAAGGAAAGCACAAGTTTACTAAAATAATTGTCAAAGTTTCAAATCACACTCATAAATCAAATTAAACTGAGCAGCAAGCATACCTGGCGGTGCATGCTTCAGATCGAAATAGGAGTAACCTCTTTTGCTGATTATTAAACCGAATAATCAGCTGTTGAGTGGAGCAAGGCAACATACAGCCACAAGGGGCACTCGCATCGTGCAACATGGATGTACACCTCGCCCATTATGGAATGACGAAACCAAAATGCCATGCTGTTCCTACTCTTCGTAAGTAGCTGATTTATTACCCGTTTCTCAAGTGGGTGCGCCGAAGCAATGTTGGGTAATTCCTTGCTGAAGGGAATTTGATATTAAGAGAAATGTCTTCCCTTGAACAGATTTGAACCAAGCATTTTCAGAGTTTGCTGTTGAATGTTGCAACTGTGCCACCGCGCCCAAAGGACGCAGCTTTTGTGGAATGGATATTATGGTGTTGTTTGAGAAATTATCGCAATGCCATTTATAATTCAGACATGTTACGGGGGCTTATTACTGCTTCATTATATACATCCAGCGATCTAAAATTAAAATATTCAAAAACGTACACTGGAACATGCCGTTCAGTGACTGTGAATACTCTGCGTAAAACATTTGACTAATTTTAGTGCTTCTTGCTCAGAAAAATTTTTCTTTAGACGACGAATGATTCACTTGCACTACAAATGTCGAGCAACCTTAACCATAAAACAAACATTCCAGCTAGAAAAATATAAGGCAAGGCTGAATTAACACAGGTAACTTTAAAGGACAATCACTGCAACGTGAAATCAATCAACCAGCAAACTTTTCTCTTACGGCGAAGCGTTCATTTGTAATGAAGATTTTCTACATGCACCCATATTCAGATGGCAAAAGCACAGTAAAAATTTGACACATTAAACTAATACTGAAAATACTGTTTAGAAGAAGGTGCTGAACTCAAGTGAATGTGCCTAAAAGAAGATATTTGAACAAAGTTTAGCAGAATTTGCAACTGTCAAGCCCCATCAGAAGAATTCAATTATAATTTTGGAGGAGAAACTCCAGAGCACTTACCATTCCAGAAAAGATTTGTCAGTTTCCTACGCTTCAACGTGCAAACACCGCTGCTGTGTTACTTGCTAGGTGTAGACAAACGTAACGAAGTTCAACATCTATCAACCATGCTTAGTTTCTGCAGGCATTAGAAAAGGAAACAATTCATTTCAAAGCCATAATTTATTAACAACGTCAAGAGGAAGCTGGTTTTTAGACCTGAAATATTTTCGAAGTCATCCATTTTCACATGAACTAAATCGAACTTAGGGTAGTGATGCCGTCGTTTATATTCAAATTTCACGGGAAAATTAACCTTCTACTACACAGGAACCACAATAGAAACCATCCATTTCCTTAGCGAACAAATTTTCAAGATGAAATTTGAACCAAGCAAAAAAATTCAACTCAGTTATCGCTCTTGGAGTTTGATAGCTTAGAGCAGTTGTCTAAAAACATGCACAGTTGTTCATGATTTTGAGGTGCAGAGTAGCATTTACGTGAAACCACCCTCACTAATTTTTCACAAATTTTCGGTCACATAATAATGACCTTCCTCAAAATGAAATATTAGAACTCAAGTCATAAGTGAACAGACAATGTGTATTTGATCAAATATACTTTCTCAGGCCTATCGAGCACCGTTATTCTATTAAAACGAATGCATTAAAACAGAGTTTCTTCGTCAAGTCTGTTAGCGTTTTCACTGAAACTCTGAAAATAACCTTTGAATAGATAGAGGAAGGAGCGAAGAAAACAGGCAAGTGCTGAATTTCAGTTCTATCTTTAATGCTCCATGAATCTTAACAACCTGATCGTGCCAGCGATTGTTGCTGCCTTGCCAAGAATACCTGCATTTATCACTCATCGTGCTACGCAAAGTGTACCTGCATGTTGCATTTAGAAGTGAATGCTTACACTAATAGTATGTGCTTATTCATGGCATTTTCCAACCGTCCTACCCTACTTGTTTAACGCTTGCACCCATAAATTAATCCAATTATCCAACAAAACTGCCAGAACTATTTTCAGACAACTTGTCTTAAATTTTCAACTACGAATAACACATTGAACAGCTCATGCAAATTATTCCTTAAGCAAATGCAGAATGTTCCTCCCAGCAGTACGAGCATTTACCAACTTATCAACATGAGGAAATGGCCACATGATAAAAATTCGTAAATATATTCATTTTCTACTATGCGGTGACACGAACGAGAAGAGTGCAAATACCAATATCATTACTACGGTTAAATGACAAAGCCAGTAACATCTACTATACTATGCTCT